ACTTGCAGCTGAGTGTCGCCTTTATATAGCAGTCGGCTGCTCGCAGACGAAAGCGTAGAAGCATCGAATTGTTCGCTATGGAAGGTTCTTGTTTTATCGTTTCTAGAATTTACTAGTTATCGGCTTCTCTCTTTCATCTGACATTCGCCTCGCATTTTCGCAACAATACATTACGTACATCAGTAGGGGAATTCTCTATCGCATTACAATGAATTTCGGGTCGTTAAAATTAAATAGCGATAATTTTACGATATTCGCAATTATCTAACGCCATATAACGATTTTGGGATCACAAATATGACTTAGTTTGAGTTTTAATGAGGATACTTATATCGCTTATTATCGTAATTTTCTATTTTGTGTCGCCCTTTATGCTCACACAGACACTTTGTTCAAGTAATTTTTTTGACATTTGTTTCTTCTTAATTTTTTATTTCTATTTCGCTTTATTTACACTCGCAATTTTTTGTTAGTTACGCGCTTTTTAATATTTCTACATAAGAACACTATGTTTATGTAAAGGAGGGCACAGCTTTTATTTATCTACTACTTTTATATTATTTTTAAATTCGATTACATATCTTATCCTTTTTACTATCATCACAGTCCTTCAGTGGCTTCACCAATACTCTCCAATATTTCTTGCCTTATTTCAACATTATATGCAAACTCAATTATTTGAAATATTTATTATTATGTGGATACATATACGCACAGGCATATACAATATCTTTGCATACACATATAATATTGCAAATTTCAATTTCCAGATTTATGGCGTTCTTTCGCTTGAGAAAAAAAGAAAGAATATAGAAGAGAATGTCAAAATCTACAGAAACGGATAGAAACGCAAAACGTATCGAACGAGCACAGCAACACTGGGCGCTGTCTCCTTCGTCGTAACACAATATAACGATTTTGGGATCGCAAATATGACTGATAATTTAAACGATTTAAATATTCGGTGCACTTGTTTTTGCGATATTCGCTATCGCTGTTGTCGTAAACTACTCGACAAATCGCTGACTAAGAGACGAATATTTTTGAATTGTTAGCGATATCAACAAAATGTCATTATGTCATTAAGGTTAAAATAAAGTAAAGTAAATCAGAAAATTGCGAATGCAAATCAAAGTAAAATATTAAACATAAATGCCTTTTGAGTATTTGGAATACGCTTTAATCTAAGATCACGAGGTATTGTACGCTTCATCATTGAATAGAAGTTGGCCTCAGGGAACTTAAATGCAATTGAGTTTCTTGATAAACAACTAAAAGGCAGAAGAATAACAGCATTATCTACGGAAAAACAGGTAAAAATATAACTTTTAAATATTATTTTCAGTTTTAGCACTACTAAAATATTTATTTAAAGGGTCTAACCGCCTTACGATTCTTTGCAAATGGATGCTACCAACGTCCCGTCGGAGAGCAATGGGGAATATATAAGCCGAGGTATTCATCAGTACACCCTTTAATATTTCCTACGAAATTTAAATATCCGATTACGCAATTAGAGCGGATAGGTACAAAGGAAATGTTTGTCCTCTACAGAGCGAATAGTCAAGCAGCGTAGTTTTGGAAGTGGAAACCATAACATGTTTTTGATTTGATTTGATAAACTTTGTAATTCGTTGCAATTCATTTAAATCTATGACAAATTTATTTGTTTTTGTCATTCTTTTTTCTGCTTTTCACATATTTTGACGTTTTGTTAAGCTGTGGTGCCAGCTTTCTTTCATTTTTGTAACATGTATCCGTGGTCGATTATCTCAAAAGCTGAAGTAGAGAATCGCATAACCGTTTGTTTATATTATATTTAAACCTGACGCTTTTTAATCGCTGAATCGATTTTTCCGCCGAGTTTGCGTTTCGACTGATCGTGTCGAAAACAGTAAAAAAAATACTATAAAATTCAGCTCAAATGAGATATATATATTTTTTTTTAATTTAAAATCTATTTTATAATATAAAAAAATAACATGAAATAAGAATGATTTTATTGTTTAAATTTTTTTTTTAACTACTTTTGGTGAAATATGTTTAGGCTATGTTCAACACTTTTCCTCATTGATTTCTTAAATAGCGAATGCGTGAAATAAAATCTTGTTTATGAGTAAACTTAATTAAAGCTCTTCTTTTCTTCCATGAAAACTAAATTGGAATATTAGATCGCTCGTCATATTTTTTCGGAAAGCCTCATCAAGGCTTCCAGCTTTCCCCTTTATATGATAAGTACGCGCTTTCTAAAAACTATTAAAATGAGAAAAAAATATGGAAATATAAAACGGCTATTTATCACCATTGCTTCGAGATATTCCTGCCTTTCCAATTTTTCTTCTACATCCCTGGCTGCACCTATGCTCGCTAAATGCACCGGTGCTCCGATCTTAACTTGAAGATCGTGTTCATCTTTATCAGTTATTCGTTTCAATGAGCTTACCGTTTTTTTCTGTGCCATCATTATCTCTTTATCTTCCATTTAGTTCATATACGATATATCGTATACATGTGAGAGAATATGCATTTATTTTAAAGATATGTTTTTAAATTAATAATCTCTTTATGATTGTTGTGTTCAAAAAAAATTTTCATATGGATATACATAAACGGTTTTTGTATGTCTCTTGTTCTTCCAATATCCATATGAATAAGATAATGTATGTATGCGAAAAATTCAAATATTTTGTGAATGAGTTGGAGTAACCCATTTACTGTTCATGCTGGGAAGTGATAACATTTCAGAGCTTTCTATGTATTGTTACGATTTTGCTAAATCAACCTCGATGATTTTCGGAATCCTCCACCTAAGTTATTCGCTGTTCCAAACTCAGCAAGCCTCTCAAGGAGGACCACTTTCATCTTGTTTCTTGGACTCCCAACGGTTTGGATTCGATGCACTACGTCGTTTAGTCCTGTGACTATCTTGTATGGATCTTCCTAATTACATTAAAGTTTTGGGGACAAACCCCTCTTCCGTTGTGGATTGTACAGCAACACCAAATCTCCATTTTGGAAACCCTCGGAGTTCATCGCTTTGTCATACCTGGCCTTCATTTTGTCACTCATAATTTGAGTCCGCTGTCTCACAAGAGCATGCACCTCTCTTAGCTCTTCCTCGAGATCGGTAGACATTACCTTCCCAATTCTTCTTGCATCCACTCCATCATCCATCAGGAAAAGCGGTATATGCGCATCCCAATCATCCTGATGCTTGTCCACTACTTTCCGCAAGTGCTCTTCCAGGGTCCGGTTGAATCGCTC